ACAATGACAATGGCGAGCGAAAGAAAACGAAGAATGTGGAAAGATTCTTGGGAACAAGACAGATGGGGCTGAGAAATCGGGTTACCGCGTAAAATTAGCGACAGGCAGAAAAAGAAAAGAGAATGTGATCCGCGAAACCCTAAAGATAGTCCGCCATTTTCGCTGGAGCTTGAAATTGCGCTCGGGCATTCGGGTCCGGAGCTTCAGAGAAACTCCGACGACTCTCTTTGCTTTGTTTTGTTATCCACGTAACTCTCTTTCTCTCTGTCTCTGTTGTGCACAGCACAGAGAGAGACACCTTCCCTCCATTTTTATATTGATAGATATAGCTTTTCTGTTTTCCTTCGAATTTTCCATTTTGCCATTTTTAATAAAATAAAATTTTAATATTCGATTTTTTTTTTCAAAAGGGTGTTAGTTTCAGATTCGTTGAATCTCACGAGAAATTGATCCGCGAAGATTCGCTTGGGCGGCGCGCATCCTCTCTTCTCAAGCCCAATTAGTTTGTCGCCAAAGTAATTTTTTTAATTTTTTTAATTTTAATTTTACAAGGCGTATTTGTATCCGTCAATAGGCAACCACAACTTCTAGAATCAAACCATTAAACCAAATACCAGTTGATATATCTCAATTTAAACTAATTTATAAGTCGTGAAAATGTGATACAACATACCCGTCAAGTTTTCATAATGCATGTTGTGGAATGTTTGTGGAAATTATATTAGTTGAAAGTGGAGCAACATGAATTACCATATCCATAAATCTTAACCATGGAAAATTGATATCCCCTTTTTTTGTCCAGATAAACCAAACCCAACATTCGAAAAGGGCAAGTTGCAGACTTGTAGTCCCTTTAGCACAAGGTTTCTTGCATTATGGGCTACATGCATGGGACCATCCCCAATCCCTTTGAGAGTAATACATCAACCAGAAAGAAAAGCAGAGTGTAAATTAAGTTCACACAACCAACCACTACAAGTCCAAATCACTTCAAATGTTACTACCATTTACTGGAGAAGCATTGCCCTCAGAAAGTGACTGTAACAAGCAATTGGGCAAAGCAAAAAGCTGCCATGAGTTCCTCCAAATTATTATACTTTGTACTCTTGCACTTAAAAATTGTGTGCCTTGAAGCTCTAACAAGTGTATAATACTCAATCACCAACATCACATCATGCTCAAGAAGCTAACGGGTCTAGCCGAGTGGAAAAAGGCCATGATTTGCAAACCAGTAGTCTCATGTTTGAACTCTCATATTATTTTGATAATGTTTGTGTATGAGAAACCCTCTCTCCACTTGTAATATAGACTATTGCTTGTATTAAAAACAAAAAACAAAAACTGTGTAAATCACACGATAGCAACCTTCCCATCAACAAATGAATCTAGCTTATTATGAATCTTATTAGTTCAACTGGCATGGAGATGCGTGAGGTGGTTCAAATATCTTTGTAGAAAAGATCAACCTAGAGCTTTTCAGTTTAGGCATGAAGAGTACATAGCTAATCGCATGAATTTCAACAGTAAACCTTTTTCTGCTCATTTTTATGCCAAAGGCAGAAATGATCTTTGAGACTAACTAAAAGTTGAAGCTGTGTATCATTTGAAATATATCTCTACTATAAATATGCCATTGTACATCATGTGTTGAAACACGAGTTTTTCCATCTGTTCACCTTTTGAGACATGCTAAGACCAACAGACTCAATTACTGAAAGTGAACGGTTTCACATACACTAAAAGAATGCTTCATACAATATCCTCAACCAAATCTAATATGAATCATGTGTCAGTCACATGTTGATGCTCCTATTATACGGCCCCTCTCATCAGAAGACTCTTCTTTTTCCATTACCGTAAAAAGGCAAAGCCACCCCAGGAAATAGATCGCAGACTGATCTTGTAACAACTTTCTTAGATAACAATGGAGTACAACATATCTGCCAAAGTCAGGCCATTGGGGCTTCATCTTGTAGCAACAAACCCGAAAGCTAGAACTGGGGATTCATCTTACTGCTGCCAACCTTATTTCTACAATCTAAAAGGGGAAATCCTCCTTAATGGGGTCAACCGAGGAAGTATTAAAAAATTGCTGATGAATCAAGTTGCTTTACTCACTTGCATATCTCACTTAGAATTTAAATGTTTATCTAGCAGCTTAACTGAAATCAGCGGTAATATGCCATGTGTCTTGATGACATAAATGGAGATGTAGCAAAAGGAGAGGTCTTTTGAGTTTGGGCAGGAGGATTTGTGGATCTCTTTTTCTCATGCTTGGTTTCAGCACGGAGCCAGGACTCAACAACAGAGAGCAGATTGGCCGAACTCTTCAACTCATTGACCTCCGATAACTTCTCAGCCCTCTTTAGCTCACCATCTTGGATGTAAGCCAGATGGGTTGCCCATGTCTCCAACCCATCAAAAATATGGGTTGCATAAACAATTGTCGCTCCTCTCTGCAGTCAACACAAAAAGATTAATAAAACTATACCAGAGTAAGCAGGTTTAATGATGAGAGTATAAAAATATTTAAACTACTTAACCAAACAATAAAAAATGGCCTCACCATGATACATGCAGCATGCAATGGGATAAAATAATATGCATCATATAATTTGTCCAGATGAAATGATATATGCAGTTTCCCCCATTTAAAGATCTTCCACATATCAGAACTGGAGTCTGTACATGCAAGTGAATATTATAACAGTAAATAAAGCAAGTCCGTACCTGTTCACATTCTTCCTTGAAGAAATCTAATAAGTCCAGTCTGGCAACAACATCCAAGTCGACCGTTACCTCATCAAGCAAGAGAACCTGGGATTTAACAGAATGATTCTAGTTAGAAATAGTTTCAAATGTCAACATAATCTACTGGACTTTTAATCACAGACGGACTTGGAATACGAAATGATACAGCAATTAGGTGGAGATTCCAATTTGCAGGCAATGGGGTGAAATATGAAGCACACCCCTAGAACACAATATAAATACAAAATTGACCATTACGAAACGCTTCGGGGCAATTGAATGCAAACTATAGATCCTCATACGCGTGCACTGAAACAGCCATTTCATTTTTTGGTACAAACTCATATTCAAGATTCCAAGATACCTTGAAAGGATGAAGAAGCCCCATGCAGATTTGGACTCGACGTCGTTGCCCATCAGATACTTTATGCATTCTCCACTGGAGGTTTATATCAAGTAGCTCAATCAACTTGTCTCTCCTAACTGGATCAGTCCCTTCAACTGCCAAAAATTGGGGGCAAACACAATTTCATTTCAATCGATTGAATTTCACCCTTATATGCGATGAAGAAAGATCTACAAGCTCTTGAATTGAGAAAATGGAACTAATAAAATTTGACATATGTTAAAAACAATAGATAGACAAAGAACCATTAGGTATTAACAAGTTACATAACATTATCCAAGAGCTTCAAGAAGTTGCATAGTAGAAATCATTCACTACACTATGTTTTTAGCTTGACCCTTCTACATTAAGATTATATTAAAAATTTATATGAAAAGGAAATAAATGTAGCATGCCAGTCAAAATTACCCACCTCCAAATATCATATGTTCAGCTGAGAAATCTCCCTGCAATGGAAGTTCTCCCTAAAAATTTCCAAAGACAAATTTATTTTCAGTTTCAGTCAAGGAAATGAAAACAAATTGGCAAAAAAGCCTAAAATGCATGGCCATGATACCCAAATAAGCGAAATGCAAGTGCTTTTCAGCCTAAATAAACCATTCAATTATGGCAGAGTTTGTTTAAGAACTCACAGCAGAGCCAACAGATTTACTCCACGAGCCTCCCAAGTAAGCTAAATCGCCGCTGCAAACCAAATGAGTGTCATGAAAAGCCGAACAATTTAAAACCCGCACCACATCTCTCCCTCCCACCATCTGCTTCCCTGCTAGAATCTTCAGCAAAGTGGTCTTGCCTGCAAAACTACCCAATTAGCTTCGAAATACAAATTTAACCGCTTTCCAGGAAATTGAGTTTCCGTGGAACCAAAGAGACCTAAGAAAAAGGTCAAACCGGTGAAACAAAGTCTGGTTTTCAATTACCAGATCCGTTGGCGCCGACGAGAAGGCATCGCGATCCGGGGGCTATGTTAAGGTTGAAATCGCAGAAAAGCGGAGGTTGTGCATCGTACGAGAATTGCATGCCATGGACTCTAATACCGCTCGACGTCTCTCCTTCTCCTTCCGCTCTCGGATTGGATGTTTCACTGACCCTGCCCGCCATGGTTGCTCTGCAAATCCGGTAGCACGGAGCTGATTGTGTTTTCTGTGGTCATTTTATGAATACGAGTTGGCCGATACTAATAGGGTGCCGATGGTGGATGTTGGTCCCACTGCTTGTGCACACGTGGCGGATAAATAAATGGCCACGTAACATGCTCTTGCGGAAGGGATAAAATCTGGTGTATAAACGGCCACGAGTTTAGAAGTAATGGCCCAACCAGAGTTGGTCAAGAGCTGGCTGGAAGTTCCCACCCACTTCACTTTTTTCAGACGTGGCCACAAGCTATTGGCTCAACCGAAAATTAAAGTCGTTATTAAGTATTTGGATCTGGATTTGTTTGACCAAACCAAACGTTGGGTTTTTATTTTCTTTAAAGAAAATGTGACCAAGAATTTAATAGACTCTTTCAATTTTAAAATGAGAAAGCGTATAGCCGCACGGCTATACTATTTATTTAAAAAATTAAAGGCCCCATTATAGCCGCAGGCTATAATATGTAATTAAATAGTATAGCCGTTCGGCTATAATATATAATTAAATAGTACCGCCGCTCGCTTATACTATATTAAACAAAAAACCGACCCGCCTAGCCTCTAGGCGGCAGATTATTATTTTTAATTTTTAAATAGTATAGCCGCGCGGCTATACCTGCAAAAGGATTAAACCGACATGTCGTAATTGTTATTTTGCATGAAGCGACATGTTTGCGCAAAACCGCGCGGAACCCCATGGCCACCAAAAAAAAAAAAAAAAAAAAAAACCTGCGGACCCGAGGTCGCCTACCCGTCGCTACAACTTGTAGCCTACAAGTGATAAGTCGTGGAAGACAATTCTCCTTCTCGGAGACGGAGAAAGGGTGCGCGGGTTAACTAATCGTGTGCCCCTCGCGCGCCATAGAAACAGCCTCTTCGCTAAAACATCCCTAGTCTCGTTAGGACTGTCGCTGAAGCAACAGCAACCAATTAAAGCTGCAAAACCCTCACACGGGAGAGAGAGGGGTTTCGGTTCTGCGAATCTAGGTTTAAGAAAAATCCGAATAAGTTAATCCGAAACTCCGATACGTGAATTTGATTCATTTTGACCACTGTAATATCTAAATTCGGTACGTAAGCAATTGAATTTCGGTAATTGCTCGGTCGCAATCCGTGATCGAATTCGGTTTCAGGTTTTGTGTTTGATTTTTATGTTTAATTCAATGCGAATGAATGCCTACTTGCTCTTCCTTCTCGAAATTGTCAGATAAAATTGCCCTAATTTACACATATACAATTGCATGGAGGAAGACGAAGACAGGATTTTGTTGGACAGTTTGGGCGTAACGTCGGCAAACCCTGAAGATATCGAGAGAGACATTTTATCAGGGGTATGTAAATGCTAGGTTTCATCATTTTCATCTTCATTGTTAATTGCATCGTGCCCAGATAATCAAAACCATGTTTTTTGAGCTGCGAAAATATACCGAGAGTGATTGAATAGTTAATCAAATGCTAGAATTTGACAGTAGGCAGTGTTTGAAGTGCAGGCGCAGAACAATGGCAATGCCAGTGAAGTTGGAGGGAGTACTGAGGAGGAGCCTCTTGAGAGATCAGAAAGTATCGATCCATTGGCGGCCAGCCAGGCCAAACTCTATAACAAATTGAGGGCAGTTGAGTTTGAAATTGATGCCGTTGCCTCCACTGTTGAACCTGAACAAGCGGGGAATGAAGGCGCTGCTTGTGATAGTGATGATGATGGCGTGGAACCCGGGGATAAGGAGGACCTTGATCAGGCTTCTGCTACTGGGTTGAACCTTCAGCATGCCTTAGCTACTGATCGACTGAGAAGTCTAAAGGAAACAAAGGCTAAACTTGAGAAAGAGCTTTCAGATTTGGACAAGCAAAGACCTTCCAAGGGTAAACAGCGTGACAAAGTCTTATCAGATATTGTCAAGGAAAAGCCTGCACCCAAGAGGAAGTTGAAACAAGTTAAGAAATCTGGAAAAAATCTAGAAAAGAGGCTTAAAACAGTCTCATTTGACGAGGATGATGACTTCGATGCTGTGTTGGATGCAGCATCTGCAGGCTTTGTTGAAACAGTGAGTTTAACACTTGAACTTTACCTAGTGGTTCAATCTTTCTCACCTTGTGTTTTGTAAAATTTGGTGTGGGTTACCTAATTAATTATGTATAACGTTAGTAAAAGATGTTATAAATGGTTCATTATTAATTAAGTATAAAAAAAGGAAGAGAAACAACAGGGATAACTAAGTTGACGCTTTTGATATGCCAGGAAAGGGATGAATTAGTTCGAAAAGGAATTTTAACTCCTTTCCATAAGCTCAACGGCTTTGAACGCCGCCTTCAAGAACTAGGGCCATCTCAGAGGCGTAACGTTCCTGCAGAAGAACACAGGAGTAATGATTTTGCTTCAGCCAGTGTTGCTAGAGCAGTGCAGTCAATTTCGGAGGCTGCTCAAGCTCGCCCATCCACCAAGCTGCTTGATCCAGAAGCTCTACCAAAGCTTAATCCACCCACTTATCCTTTTAAGAGGCTAAAAAAACCTCTTAAGATTCCTCAATCCCTAGAAAATGATACACACAAGAATAAAAGTTCAAGATTAAGAAGGAAGCGCCCTTTGCCTGATAAAAGATGGAGAAAGCTCAGTAATCTCGAGGAAACGCACGTGCATGAAAATGGTATGTTCAATGTTGTCCTTGATAGTGGTGTTAAGTAGTTGCATGACATAGTTAAATGTTTTGTACAACAGAAAGTTGTTTTAATTGTTTTATCTATTTTTCTACCAAATCTTAGCAAGTACGTTGTTTCATTTTTGTTCTACTTGTTTTTTCTTGCAGAAGACACTCCCAGTTGTGAAGAAGAAAACCAAGAGGATGTTGGAGATGTAGATGATAATGAGTATACTTATGTTACCTTGGAAGGGGGGCTGAAAATCCCAGAGCACATTTTTAACCAACTTTTTGACTATCAAAAGGTAGGCGTCCAGTGGCTATGGGAACTACATTGCCAAAAAGCAGGCGGAATTATTGGAGATGAGATGGGTCTTGGTAAAACCATCCAGGTCTTGTCCTTCCTTGGTGCATTGCATTTCAGTGGCATGTATAAACCAAGCATCGTTGTCTGCCCAGTTACACTTTTGCGCCAATGGAAAAGGGAGTCTCAAAAATGGTACCCAAGCTTTCATGTGGAGTTACTTCACGATTCTGCTCAGGATCCTGCCGGTAGGAAAAAACGATCCAAATCTAATGAAAGTGATTCTGATAGTGAAGGTTCACTGGACAGTGATTATGAGAAACCGGCATTATCCAAAAGCACTAAGAAATGGGATTCCTTGATTAACCGTGTTTTGAGGTCAGAATCTGGGTTGCTAATTACAACTTATGAGCAACTCCGTATTGTAGGGGAAAGTTTGCTTGACATTGATTGGGGTTATGCAGTTTTGGATGAAGGACACCGAATTCGGAACCCAAATGCAGAAATTACTCTAGTTTGTAAACAGTTACAAACAGTACATCGTATAATAATGACGGGTGCACCAATTCAGAACAAGCTGACTGAACTGTGGTCCTTGTTTGATTTTGTTTTCCCTGGAAAGTTGGGGGTCCTGCCCATATTTGAGGCTGAGTTTTCAGTTCCCATATCTGTTGGTGGTTATGCGAATGCCTCACCATTACAAGTATCCACAGCATACAGGTTTAGATTGATATATTTCAAATTTACAACCTGATATTTAAATTTTCAGCGTCCAGTAGACTGGATTATTATTTCTATCTAAAGACTCTTACAGAGTACTTATCAATCTATTTTTGTTAACTTTTGAATTTTGGAAATTCCTAAACTATCTGAGTGTTTATAGGTTTACCACCCTTAAGAAAGAAAACCCATAAGATAAAGTCATTCATGAAAGATGAAACTTCTGGTATTTTTTTCCAAATTGTTCCCAGGGTTGTATATATATATATACACTTTTCAGTCTCAACCTTTCACTATGCAGGTGTGCTGTGGTTCTGCGAGATTTGATCATGCCGTATCTCCTCCGGCGCATGAAGGCAGATGTGAATGCCCAGCTTCCTAAGAAGACTGAACATGTCATATTTTGCAGCCTCGCTGCTGAGCAACGTTCTGCATATAGAGCATTTCTGGCTAGTTCTGATGTGGAACAGATTATGGATGGTAATAGGAATTCTCTTTATGGAATTGATGTCATGCGTAAGATTTGCAACCACCCTGATCTGCTTGAGAGGGAACACTCCGGCCAGAATCCAGATTATGGTAATCTCGAACGCAGTGGAAAATTGAAAGTTGTTTCTCAAGTCCTTAAAGTTTGGAAGGATCAAGGTCATCGTGTTCTTCTTTTTACGCAAACGCAACAAATGCTTGACATTATTGAAAGTTTTCTGGTTTCTGGTGGTTATAGCTACCGGAGGATGGATGGTCTTACTCCCATCAGACAGAGAATGGCCTTAATAGATGAATTTAACAACTCAAGTGATGTGTTTGTTTTCATTCTGACAACTAAGGTTGGTGGTTTAGGGACAAATCTGACAGGTGCTAATAGGGTGATCATCTTTGATCCTGACTGGAACCCATCCACTGACATGCAGGTACATTTTGGACTTCACTATTCTTTTAATTTGCAATTTGATGCAAATGTTTGAACTTGGAAACTAGTCGTCTGAAATGTAAAGGTTACTACTATATATATGGTCTGTCTTGCGAAATTGTCAACATTCAGGGTTAAGGATCCTTCTAGTGTCTTTCTGATGGAAGTAATACGTACAAGTTTTTTGTTGACCCTTGTTTGAAAATTTTGATTTTTTTTTTTTTGGGTACTTTGGAAACACATTTTTGTAATCTGAATGTTTTTAACAGGCAAGAGAGCGTGCTTGGCGTATTGGTCAGAAGCGGGATGTGACTGTATATAGATTGATCACCCGTGGAACCATAGAGGAGAAGGTGTATCATAGACAGATTTACAAGCATTTTCTCACCAATAAGATATTAAAAAACCCACAGCAGAGAAGGTTCTTTAAAGCTCGAGATATGAAGGATCTCTTCACTCTGAATGATGAGGGTGAGAGTGGGACTACTGAAACAGCTAATCTGTTCGGTCAGTTGTCTGAAGATGCCAATGTTGTTGGTACACAGAATGACAAGCACAATAAGCAAGAATCTCAGAAAGTCTCTGTACCGCTTGCCAATGGTGCTGGGGCTGACAAGGGGAAGAACTCAGAGGTTGGACCGTCCAGGAGGAATGGGAAAGAAAAAGCTGACCACAGCAATGATGAAGTAGATGAAGAAACAAATATTCTGAGGTGCCTATTTGACGCCCAAGGGATACATGTAAGTTTCTTCAATTTGTGTGCCACATACACATTTTTCTTCATTGGTAGTATTGCACCTGTGTCTGTTAGGATTCCTTTATAGCTGTGGAACTTAACCTGAGATAAAATGTTATAACTTTGGTCTAATCAAGTTGTTTGGTTGTCTTCCCCAAAATAATTGCAAGCATTTTCTGATGATTGGAGTTTTGGATTAAATCTCATTTGTCACTGTTGGAGAGTCTTGTACGATGGAGGGAAATTATATGTCATGTAATATATATTTCAAATTATTTAGTAGTATTTTACTATGTATTCATGTAAAGCGCATATAATAAGAATGCATTGATTGTAACACGAGACTGACATTGTTAATTCTCAATTCAGTCTCCATCTCGCTGCAGTCTGTTTACGTTTTTCTTTTAACATGGTGTCCAATTTCCACTGCAGAGTGCTATGAATCATGATATGATCATGAATGCGCATGATGAAGAGAAGATGAAGCTTGATGAACAAGCTTCCCGAGTTGCACAAAGAGCAGCAGAAGCACTGCGCCAGTCACGGATGCTTCGAAGCCGTGATAGTGTGTCTGTCCCCACATGGACTGGGAAATCAGGAATGGCTGGCGCACCATCATCTGTCCGTGGGAAATTTGGTTCAACTGTGAATTCCCAGTTGATCAATAATACCAAACGCTCAGATGAAGTTTCCAACAATGGAACAAATGGTGTTGCAGGGGCATCTGCTGGGAAGGCATTATCTTCTGCTGAATTACTGGCAAGAATTCGAGGAAAGGAGGAAAAAGCTGTTGAAGCTGGAATTGAGCATCAGTTTGGGTTGGCTTCTAGTTCTAACAGAGCAAAATCTGTAGATGTTGGACCTTCTAGGTCGTCTCACAAATTAGGTGGGGTGCAACCTGAAGTACTGATTCGTCAGATCTGTACATTTATCCAACAAAGCGGAGGAAGTACGAGTTCTTCAAGCATAGTGCAGCATTTTAAGGACAGAATACCCTCAAAGGATCTTCCCTTGTTTAAGAATCTTCTGAAGGAAATAGCCAAACTAGAGAAAACCCCAAACGGATCAGTTTGGGTTCTAAAGCCAGAGTTTCACCAGCAGTGATCTCAATCTCAACCTCCGATTCATTGCCTGAGATGAGAGTGCTGATTTTTTGTGGATAGTTGTGGGTTCTCCAAATATCCGGAGTTTATTTGGAGCAATGTTCATTTGTGATCCCTGAAATCTTCCTAGTAGGTCACTTTTTTTTTTCCTCCCAGTTTCCTCCATTCTCATTGTTGTTAATATCTTCAGTAGGGCAAAGGTGACAAGAAATTTCATAGTTTTTTTTGGGTACGTCCTCGAACCATTTTAATCAAAACCACACAGAATAGAGACATTTTCTCTGTACAGTAATTTATGGAGTTCTGAGAATTTCCTCTTTCCATGTTTTGGAGGCAATTGAACAATGTTGCCCGATAGAGTGCTTTGGGCTACTTGGGTGTAGATGATAGACGGTATAGAGAGTTCTTTTCCCCTCTTTGAAAAATGGCCTCAGAAACATTTGAGAACCAGATTTCGTCGTTTTGGGTGTTTGTGATTGTACATATCAGATTTCCAAGCACTCTGTTCCGCCGGCCAGTTCAAATCTTCTGCTCTAGCCGTCTTATGTAATGCCAAAGTGGCCCATCGCGTACTCGTATTTGTATATGGATAGACTAGGCTGCCTTTTATGTTATTGTACTCTACAGGTGAACCACTCAGGTTATGTTACCCATTTTACTGCTATAACTTGAGTGGATCGCGTACTCGTATTTGTATATGGATAGACTTGGCTGCCTTTTATTTGGTTGCCGCTAGTTTTCTTCAAATTAGGTATCGACCCGCTCAGGTTATGTTACCCATTTCACTGCTATAACTTTTAGGCCAAGTTATGATTTTGATCCATGTAGGTTCAGTTATTGCTATTTAATCTTCGTAGTTTATTAAGTGTTACAATTCAAGGACAATATGGTAATTTCATCAAGTTTTCCTGCCGAATTACTTTAGCAGGCGAGTGGCATATGTGAGGGTAAATGATTCCCAACAAATAAAACTACAGGGATGATGGAGTACAATGACAACCAAATGACTTTGATTCTAGGAGAAACCTGCAAAGCACTCGAGAACTATTCCAGTCCACAACAAAAACCACAAATAAGTTAAGAAGGCAGAAAGTAGACAATAAGACAATTACTTTAGGCTTTTGGCAAAGATTTTGTTAATCGAAAACGATAAAGGAATCCTCCGATCCACACGGCAAGTTTCCATTAGTCCAGAAGTGTGCCCATTTTATCAGGATGGCAACCTTCGTTTTCAGGATTACAAAATTACAACAAATATGATGTATGCAAAATGACAATCCATCTTAGTCCACCAGAAGCTGTCAAATTGCGAAGTTTTTCATCCAAATAAAAACAAAAAGGAAAGAAAAAAAAGGAGCAAATAGCAAATGGATTAGACAAGGAACATTTCTCTATTATATAGAAGTGAAAGCTTGAAATTTTAAGTTAACAACTAGCCGGCACAAAGAACATAGATGTCAGGACAAGAGAAGCTTCAAAATATATTGCAGGGAAACATTATTTCCATAAATGGAAGTATTTGGTATCTTGTGTGCTTTCTTTCTTTTCTCACATATTCCTTCCTCACTTTTCTCTTAAAAAAAGATAAAAATAAATAAAAATAAATGAAGACCTCGATCATAATTAACAAAATGCTCACACACAATTAGAAAGCCGCCCATCCTGCAGCGGTTGTCTTTGTTGAACCTGATCCAGTCGCTGAAGGAAGATTCCTCTGGAAATGATCATGAGAATACCATAAATCACAATCATAAACAAACAAGGCAATAAGCAAAATATCCATAAATCACACTCGTATGTGAACTGGAAGAGGTAATCTTTTTTCCTTTATGTGTGTGGAAGAAGTGTATCTATCAACCAAATGCACAGAAGTGCACTGCGGCATAAAAGTCGCTCAAACAAACAGAAAAACAATACTGATTCTGCAAGAACTAAGCTTTCAGATTGAAATCAGTTCCTACATGGTTCGAACTTGGACAGAAACTAATGTAGGTTATAGCTACTCATTCTCAGCTTGCCTTTCTAAGAATGGGATTACGCTCATCCAAAAAAAAAACAGAATGGGATTAGGAACCAACTTTCCCAGTAAATCAGGAATTATAGTGCTGGCAGAGACACCATCAAATGTTGGGATTTTGATGACAAGCATAAGCCATGAATGGGTAAAATCAGTAACACGACACACGACATGTATAGACAACAGAAATTTGAGAATTGCTGCGTCCAAGTATCTTAGTCAGCTAATTTTAATGACAAATTACCTAATGATTACCAAAACTCAAACACATTCATTCCATGTTGATTTTGAACAATTTACTCTTACTATATCATTTCTCTGAGTTCCAAATTCCAACAAGATGAACAACAATTCAGCTAAACCAAGCAATGTAATGCCAAAGCAACACTGAGTTACATTTCCTACCTCAATCTGAGAAAGATCGGATAACGGGTCGGAGCTCCGCCTCGGGTTATCCGGGGGTGACTTGAGGCCACCACCAGAGCTGATTCTAGCAGCAACAGGATCATTAGGAGGTGGCGGCAGAGCCGACCTCACTTTCCCAGACCCGGGCGGCGGAGCCAGGCCCAAACTAATCGGTTTGGGCTTCACCGTCCCGGATAGCCCAGCCGCTGACAACATCCCAGTCCCACTCGTCGGCTTCGGCTTCACATTTATCCTTATCGTCTCACCTTCCTTCAGATCCCAAACAAATACACAAATCAATGAAATTTTTCATTGAAAATGAGAAATTAAAGAAAATCTTAAATCTTTTATACTTTCAATCTGTGATTAACGGCAGGGTGAATATCGATATGGCCATCGTCGCTGGTCTCGCCGCCGTTGCTCTCCTTCTCGTGCTCTCTCTTGACGTACTTCTCGTGGTCCGACAAAGCCACGTTGAAATCAAACGCTTCGTTTCGCTCTGCAAACCCCAGCCCAATGAACGCGTGCTTTCCGTTGCCGTCCTCGATCTTGAGCACGAAGTATCGCGACGAGTCGAGCACGGTCTCTACGGAGGTCTCGCGCTGGCCCGGGTGGACGAAGCAGGCGGCGAAGAGCTCGCTGGAGTTCGGATCCTCCAGTCGGATCTCGCACCGGTCCTTGCAAGACACAACCCGGAGCCGACCCGACCAGATCTTATCGGACTGGAGCCACTCGCCGCACTTGTACCCGCCGGATGTGCTCCGCGGCGGGATTTTGTAGACGGCGACCTCGCGGACCACGAGCAGCGTGTGCTCGAACGCCTCCTCCTCGTCCTCGAACGACATCGTTTCGGGATCGAAGTGGGGGCAGGCAAAGCTTCGAGCTTTAACGGATTCTTATGAGCAATGCGGGTGATAATTGGGATATTTTTTATTTATTTATTTTTTTGGTTGGGGAATTTCAAACTATGGTGAGAGAGTTGGGGGATTGAATTTGAGGTGAATTTGGGACGAATTTGACGTAAATTTGAAGAAATGGTGATGTGGGAATGAAGGTGGGGGGAAGGTTTCAAATGGGAGTATGCAGAAACGTGGGTTCGAAGGAGAGTGCTTGAAAGGTCAACTGGATTGTCTAATGGAGACGGCCAGATATTACCATTTTGCCCTTATCCCTTACCCTTTTGGGCTGGCCAAGGCCTAAGCTTGGCTTGGAGATAAACTGTAATCAACAGTTATCTGTTGGTGGTTTCCATTTTCAATTCCCCAAAAAGTCGAAACCAAGAAACATTCTCCACAGAAGCCCAACCAATATCTGCAAAGCACATCTGTTACAAAAATTTACCTCTACGAATCCCTCTTTTTATCTCTATAAAAGAAAAGTATAGTTAGTTACAACAGTTGAACAAGGTAGTATCAACCTCTTTGCACTCGAGTTCAACTTCTCTTTTCGTACATTAGAGTAGTTTAAAATATCGCTATTATCAACAAACAAAACTCGATAATAGAAAGAAGCTTACCTCACTCAAACTTTTTTTATTTATTTGAATCTCCTGGCCAAAGCATAAGCCCTGGTTTTCAACTGTAATAGCAACAGAGAAACCTAGGTCCCTATATTTTTGTTAAACCAAGCTCTAAAACTTGATCTTATATAAATTATGACCATTTTTCAACAAACAATGATAACAGATAAATTAATTTTGTTGAACAAACCTCCAAAGCTTGATCCCTGTCTACTAGCTTAGATTAGTTGCAATTTCCACATAGCCAAATCACCATTACTATTCTCTAATGGCTACAAGCTTATCATCTAGCAGGCCTTCCTTCCTTGTCATTGTTGTGGCCTTTTCTTTTACATTAAACTACTCTTTGAGGGGTTAGGCTGTGTGGCCCAGTAAGGAAAGCAAAAATTAACTCCAAAGCACTTTGGTGCTGCTTGTTGAGGCCCGAAAATCCAAGGGGCTAAGCCCAAATTAACCCTTAGCCCAATATGAGTGATTGGATGCAAAATAAGCTCAATCGGGATAAAAGAAAATTTATAAAAGCCGCCAACACAAGCTACAAGCGACAAATCATGCTAAACAAGCACGTGCAAAAGGAGCCAAGGACGTACCGATATTACTAGATCACACTCACATGCTCATTCGGCCCTACTTGGCCCGACTATAGCCCGTCATGGCATAATAAAACCCCAAGCACGAGCATAGAAATCATGAGCATTCTAATATCAAGCTACGTCACGAGCTTAAGTGGGCCCAAGCCACGAAATTAATCGGGGCTTACTGAGAAGGTTGTGGTATGGAGGGAAACAAGCAATCATGGGGCCCATTGAGGGTTCAAGGAACATAGGTTTCAAAGCCACTTGGGGGCTTTGGAACTCAAGCCCGTTTCTAGAACCCAAGCATATGGGTTAGCATGAGAGAGAGGAGAAAAAATTGACCCATGCTCTAGGAAGACACCAAAGAACCTACCAAGATATTTAGCCCAGCCCACATCAATAGAATTA